CTCCGATCAGGTGAGAAACCTAGTACTAGTTCGCAAAAGTAGGTTTTGGACAAAATCCAAAATGGCGGAAAAATTTCCTTACCGGAAATGAAATCCTTGAGGCTTTTTTTTCCATCTTGAACCAAGAATTCCAATGATATAAGGCACATGAGGCTGAGACAAACGGCATTTAAGCAAAAATGTGTCAATTCTTTGGTTTTTGGACTATAGCGCCACTATCTGGCCGATTGGGACGAGTCTGGGCATCTGACCGAGTTTCAAGTCTCTAGGCCTTTCGGTTTGGGCTGCCCGATCAGTTTTATGGCGGAAAAATTATTATAATAAAATTAACAATTACAATAGGGTTTCAGCACTTTGTGCTTTATTGAATTTTCTTTTTCTGAATTTGAATCATCTCTTTTTCTCTTTAACAGCCAGGGCACAAACAACAACTGCACCAACAACATCTCCATTAATAACATCTGCACCAACAACATCTCCATTAGTAACACCTGCACCAACAACATCTCCATTAATAACATCTGCACCAACAACATCTCCATTAGTAACACCTGCACCAACAACATCTCCATTAATAACATCTGCGACAACGTCATCTCCATTAATAACATCTCCACCAACAACATCTCCATTAGTAACACCTGCACCAACAACATCTCCAGTAATTACATCTGCGACAACGTCATCTCCATTAATAACATCTGCACCAACAACATCAACATCTGCAACGACAACATCTGCATCAACACTGGCAGGTAATTATTGACCTTTGAAGTACAGCCCAATTTCCAGAAAAGTTGGCAAAAAGCAATAAAATCCACAATCTATAATTTTTTTAATTATCTTAAACCTTTTTTAAACTGACAAATGTTTTCACTGACCATAGTTGTATTTTGTAAATATAAACAAATTTTGATTTTGATGGCTGCAACATGCTTCAAAAAAGTTGGGACAGAGACAAAATAAAAGTGAAAAGATGATAGAATATTCAAGCTAAACTCCTTTGAAACTCTTTTGGTATCATGTTTGGGTGAAAAAGGAGCTTCTCCTGTCTTTGCAAGCAAAGATGGGTCATAGCTAACCACTTTGTGCCAAATTAAAAAAATCACATTTCTCAATGCAAGTTTGCAAAGAATGTGTCTTTCACCATTTACCATAATTTTGTGAAAAGATTCAGAGAAATCTTAGTATATGTGGCAAGGCAGGAGACCTCTGTTGAATATGTGTGACCTTTGAGCCCTCATGCTACTGTGTTAAATACAGCCACATGTGCTCAAGATTTCTTTGGAAAACCGTTTTCACTTAAAGGAACACTCCGACTTTTTGGGACTTTAGCCTATTCACCTTATCCCCCAGAGTTAGATAAGTCCATACATACCTTTTTCATCTCCGTGCGTGCTATAAGTCTGTTTGACGCACCCACCGCTAGCCTAGCTTAGCACAAAGACTGGATGTAAATGGTTGCAGCTAGCATACTAATCCAAATAAGTGACAAAATAACGGAAACATTTTCCTATTTACATGTTGTGATTTGTATAGTCACAGAGTGTACAAAAAACAAAGTCACATGAGACACAGACATATTTTAACCGTATAAATACTGGGAACTATATTCTCTGAAGGCGAAGCACTGCTACTTGGGCGGAGTGATAACCGCAGCACCTGAGACGAGCCGTGGAGAGGAGCAGAGAGCGCGTCTCAGGTGCTGCGGTTATCACTCCGCCCAAGTAGCAGTGCTTCGCCTTCAGAGAATATAGTTCCCAGTATTTATACGGTTAAAATATGTCTGTGTCTCATGTGCATGGGCGTCAGTTTGGTTTGAAATGTGGGGGGGACAGAGACGCATTCGGAAGGGCATTTTCAAAAGTGCTGGGTACAATGACGCATTCATTCTTTTTTCTCTTTCGCGCAGGTCATGGTTTGAAAGACGCCGATGTCCTGTAGCTTACTGATTTAAATAAATAAAAATGTATACAAAGATGTGATGATGTCCGACCAAAAATGTGATGGTACTTTGGGTTTAAATTTAATATTATATTAAGATCTAATATAATGTTGTTAGTATCGTGAATTTTTACGTGAATATATACATAGATCCGCCTGCGTTGCGTATGTACTGTAATGGTCCAGTGGCAGAATTTTTGCCAAGCGTGTCGGAGGTTGAGGGTTCTAATCCGCACTCGTATAGTTTTTTTTCCCACATCAAAACCGATAATTGTATATCAAGAATCTTGATATACTTTATCACTGATAAACATTATCGGTTTTGATGAGGGGAAAAAAAAACTATACGAGTGCGGATTAGAACCCAGAGAAGCAGGGACACGTTTGTGTGCATTTTGAATTGTGATTTCTCTGGAACGAATAGAATCTCTGCAACGGATTGAAGCGCGCGTCCGAGTGAAGACAACACATTTCAGCGCTAGATCGCCTCTTATTTAACAAATGAATGAAACGAATGCTGGTAGTTAACTAGAGATGTTTTATTTGTATTGGTACATCCGTGACGCGAGATGTTTCAAAAGTGGTGGGGACAATATCGACCCTGGCAAAAAGTGGTGGGGACATGTCCCACCCGTCCCCCCCGTAAATGACGCCTATGCTCATGTGACTTTGTTTTTTGTACACTCTGTGACTATACAAATCACAACATGTAAATAGGAAAATGTTTGCGTTATTTTGTCACTTATTTGGATTAGTATGCTAGCTGCAACCATTTACATCCAGTCTTTGTGCTAAGCTAGGCTAGCGGTGGGTGCGTCAAACAGACTTATAGCACGCACGGAGATGAAAAAGGTATGTATGGACTTATCTAACTCTGGGGGATAAGGTGAATAGGCTAAAGTCCCAAAAAATCGGAGTGTTCCTTTAATTCAGTCTGACGCTGCATCCAGCAACTTGAATCTCTGTAATACAAAGAAAGCTATACATAAGTTATATGCAGAGATGCCGGCGAGTTCTCTGGGCCATAGCTCATCTCAGATGGTCTAGATAGAAGACAGTGGAAATGTGTGCTGTGGTCAAATGAGTTGAAGTTTCAGCTTGTTTTGGGGAAAAACAGATATCGAGTTCTTAGTCCCATAGATGAAACATGACATCTTTCCTGGGAAGCAAAACAACGCCAGGCCTCATTCTGCATGCGCTAGAACAGAGAGGTTACGTATACTACACCATAGAAGGGATGTGACTGATGGGCTCCCTACAGTCCAAATCTGTCTCCTGTTGAAAATGTATGGCCCATCATGAAAAAGCAAATCAGACAACGACGACCACAGACTGTTGAGGAGATGTCTTACATCAGGCGACATAGGGTAAAAATGTCACTTGCGAAACTGCAGCGATTAGTATCCTCAATTCCCAAATTATTAAAAATGTTATTAAAAGGAAAGGTTTTAAATGTACAAAATTCAATTAAGTTGGTTAGTAACATTGGAAATATTTGTAAAAACTTAGTACATTTGTCAGTTAAATAAAGTTTCAAGACAATTAACAAATCACAGATTCTTTATTGCATTTTACAAAATGCCCCAACCTTTCTGGAAATGGGGTTGTACCCACTGATCTATATAGAATGTCATTATATAGATCAGTGGTTGTACCAGATCTGTGGTGTGAATTGAATAAACCCGAGAAGAACCTGATTATTTACAAATTATCAGGTTCTTCTCGGGTTTGTTTATTCAATTCACACAAATTCAGTTGCTTTTTCAGTTGAATTTGGGAAAACCACTTGAAACATTTGTTGTGTTCAGCTATTTCAATTACGTTTGTTTGATTTGTTCAATGCAAAAAGCTGAAAGTTTGTAAATGTTGCCAATTAACCTGAACTGTAATGGGGGTTGGATAACTTCTATTACAACTGTATATCTTCATTAAAATGGTGTAATGTACACAGAGTTGTGGATTATCCCACATACCACTTTAATTAAGACAGAGAGATAAAGGAAAGACCAGTTATTAAGCAGATTATGTCTATTTTATATTTGAAAGAATTATCAAGAAAGAGAAAAAGACAGAGATTGTGTGTGGGGTGGGGGGATACATTTTTACAAGGAAAATAAATGTATGATCTTGTAGGGACATCTTTTGGTCTCTATGAGGGAAATGGCTTCAAAAAATCATACTAAACGTTTTTAAAATCTAAAAAAGCAGAATGTTTTCTGTGGCGGTTGTGTTCAGAGGTAGGTTTACCGTTTAGGGTTAAAGGATAGAATATGTGAACCTGGACCACAAAACTAGTCACATGGGTCAATTTTTTGGAATTCAGATTTATATACCATCTGAAAGCTGAATAAATAAGCTTTCTATTGATATAGTTTGTTAGGATATAGGACAATATTTGGCTGAGATACAACTATTATAAAATCTTAAATCTGAGGGTGCCAAAAAATGAAGAAAATCGCCTTTAAAGTTGTCCATTTATGTTCGGGATTGTGCTGCATTCACTCACAAAAATAAATGTTTTATATATTTACGGTAGGAAATTTACAACATATCTTCATGGAACATGATCCTAATGATTTTTGGCATCGAAGAAAAATCAATAATTTTGACCCATACAATGTATTGTTGGCTATTCGTCTCAAATATACCCGTGCTACTTGTGGTTTTGTGATCCAGGGTCACATATACAGTTTGCACAGTATAAAAATCATTATGTCTATGGAAATTCATCATAATTATATAAAAACATATAAATATATTCAGGAGACAATTTTCAGACTGAGTTTGGCCCTCACATCTTTGGTCTATGGAATGTCCCTATAAAACCTGTGTGTGTGTGTGTGTGTGTGTGTGTGTGTGTGTGTGTGTGTGTGTGTGTGTGTGTGTGTGTGTGCGTGTGTGTGTGTGTGTGTGCGTGTGTGTGTGTGTGAGAGAGAGAGAGAGAGAGAGAGAGAGAGATGCAACGAAAGAAACTATATATTAATGGAAAAAATAAAATTAAGTATATTCATTTATGCCTTCAGCATTTGTGAAATTTGTGGTTAAGCTTTTTTTTCTTTTTTCTAAATGAAGAGATTTCTAAAACAATTTTCACAGACCCATGCTATAGCTACACTGCGCTGAATGATTCATGGAGAGCCACCAACAATCTATTTTCCTCTCAACTAATGTGTGACACTGCGGTCATCTGGAACGGCTGGTACCGTCTCTTCATTCAGGGCCAGAGCGCTCAGATGCCAGACACATGTGTTGATGTGTATAGATGTGGTACTTTTACTCCACTGTGGCTGAACGGAGGACATCCAACAGTTGAGGATGGAGTGGTCACTCGAGCTGTCTGCGGAAACTGGACCAATAACTGCTGCTATTTCCAATCCAATCCCATTAAAATCAAAGCCTGTCCTGGCAATTACTACGTCTATAAGTTTGTGAGCCCAATTTCCTGTCATTCAGCATACTGTGCAGGTACAGTAAACATAATTTGCATTCATGAATCTGTTTTTGTAATGTATTATATCTACGATTACGTTAGACCATCTACTGTATCTGTTTTTGACATACTGTGGAGGTAAATCCATTAACATGTGCCTTTTGTACTTTTGTAATTTAAATTTGTATCTTTTTTTTTTTTTTTTTTGCAGAAGTTAGGAACATTACCACCAATAATGCAACTGTCACTCCAAACACAACTTTGGCAGGTAATGTAAACGCTATGGCTTCTACTGACTGTTGAAGTTTTGACGGGATGTATCATGAAAATCTATCATTCTGTATGTGTTTGTGTCTAGGTACAGACTGTAGATAAAACAGTGTTTGAAATTTGCAGATGCTGAAGCACATGTTCATTAACATATATTAATTTGTCATTTTACTGCATTAACTCCACTTGATGTTTGAATGACCTGTAAGAAATGTAACTGTGTAAAATCTTTACACACCTTTTTTCTATTACTAAAACGAGACAAAGTCATGACACAGACGTCATGCTGTCTATATCAAATAGCAATATTGTTGCCAAAAAAGACGACTAAAATAAAGTTAAAGAAAATTACCAAAATGTCTCTATGTAGATAAAAGAGATTTTGTCTTACAAGCCAGTGTTTTGATACTTTTAATATAACCTCATGTAATGTGTTTGTTTGATTAGTTTATGCATACATTTAAAACATCATGCATGAGTATATATCGATGTTTGGAACTACTTAAAATGATAATAACACCTAATTATAATTATATTTTAATTAGAGTGTATGCCGTTGCACAGACAATTGCACTCCAATGCCATGGACAGGGAATTTTGAATTAATGGTACATTCATAATTAGAAACATCCCAAGCTCAGTAAATTTGCTTGTTTACCAATCATGCCAGGAGGTGGGTGGGGTGTTGTATTCATTTTCTTATAAATATTTTTGTATTATATGTATATTTTTTAAAGACACTGTTACCTGTAGCACTTTGTTTCTTCAAAAACATTTGCAAGACTATTAATTATGTATAGGTATATATTTTAAAGTCATATCCACATGAGTCATCCACCAGAGGGCATCATCAATTGTCCCGCTACTAATCAGCCAGATTCAAATATGAGCCCCATAAATCAGTGAATGTAAACATCAGGTAACAGAAATGATTTCTGTTCATTTTCTTGGCACCAGGAATATTCTACCCATTCGGCTCATCAGCAGGAGACACAATAAACCCTGCTGTTGATGATGGAAGCTCCTCAGATTATATATCATACAGTGCATCCGGAAAGTATTCACAGCGCTTCACTTTTTCCACATTTTGTTATGTACAGTAACAGCCTTATTCCAAAATGGATTAAATTCTTTATTTTCCTCAAAATTCTACAAACAATACCCAATAATGACAATGTGAAAGAAGTTTGTTTGAAAGCCTTGTCTCTAATGGAGGCCTCTGAATCTAAAGTTAATACATTTCTGAACTCACTTAAAAACTAGATCAAAGGACATATTTGGACTAGAGCAGGGAACTCCAACCCTGCTCCTGCAGAGCTACTGTCCTGCAGACTTCAGTTCCAACACACATGCCTGTAATTATTAAGTAACCCTGAACAGCCTGAGCTGGTCCAGCTGTTTGATTGGAGCAGGACAGTAGCTCTCTGGCAGCATCATGCTGTGGGGATGTTTTTCAGTGGCAGGAACTGGGAGACTCAGAGTCAAGGGAAAGATGAATGCAGCAATGTACATTCAAGACATGCTTGATGAAAATCTGCTCTTGAGCGCTCTGGACCTCAGACTGGGGCGACGGTTCATCTTCCAACAGGACAACTACCCTAAGCACACAGCCAAGATAACAAAGGAGTGGCTACGGGACAACTCTGTGAATGTCTTTGAGTGGCACAGCCAGAGCCCAGATTTGAACCTAATTGAACATCTCTGGTGAGATCTGAAAATGGCTGTGCACCATCGCTGCCCATCCAACCTGATGGAGCTGGAGAGGTTCTGCAAAGAAGAATGGGTGAAACTGCCCCAAAAAAAGGTGTGCCAAGCCTGTAGCATCATACTCAAAAAGACTTGAGGCTGTAAGGTTTTTTATTTTTCATACATTTGCAAAGATTTCAAACAAAATTATTTCACATTGTCATTATGGGGTATTTTAATCCATTTTTGATTAGTCTGTAACATAACAAAATGTGGAAAAAGTGAAGCTCTGTGAATACTGTCCGGATGCAGTGTATATTAATGGAAAATAAAATTAAGTGTATTCATTTGTGAATAAATGTTTGGTTCAACTGTTTGGTCTTTTCTAAATGAAGAGATGCTCTACAATTTGCTTAACTCAAGTATGGAAGAAAAGCTTTTTTAACTCCATTCTTAGGTAGATCCCATGCCACTAGTGTATATTATGAATAGTAATTTCATTTTCGAATTGATTTTTTGTTTTTACAGACCCATGCTATAGCTACACTGCGCTGAATGATTCATGGAGAGCCACCAACAATCTATTTTCCTCTCAACTAATGTGTGACGCTCGGGGCTTCTGGAACGGCTGGTACCGTCTCTTCATTCAGGGTCAGAGCGTTCAGATGGCAGACACATGTGTTGATGAGCATAGTTGTGGCACTGCTGCTCCACTGTGGCTGAATGGAGGACATCCAAAAGTTAAGGATGGAGTGGTCACTCGAGCTGTCTGCGGTCACTGGAAAAATAACTGCTGCTATTTCCAATCCAATCCCATTAAAGTCAAAGCCTGTCCTGGCAATTACTACGTCTATGAGTTTGTGAGCCCAACTTCCTGTCATTCAGCATACTGTGCAGGTACAGTAAACATAATTTGCATTCATCCAGGAATGTATTTTTGTAATGTATTACATTTACGAGTTTGTTATGCCATCTATCTGTTTTTGACATTCTGTGGAGGTAAATACATTAACATGTGCCTTTTGTACTTTTGTAATTTATATTTGTATCTGTTTATTAATTAATATTCTTTCCTAATTTTGCAGAAGTTAGGAACATAATCATCAATAATCCTACTGTCACTCCAAACACAACTTTGGCAGGTAATGTATACGCTATGGCTTCTACTGACTGCTGAAGTTTTGACGGGATATGTCATGAAAATCTATCATATGTGTTTGTGTCTGTAGGTACAGACTGTAGATAAAACTGTGTTTGAAATTTGCAGATGGTGAAGCACATGTTCAGTAACATATATTAATTTTTAATTTTACTGCATTAACTCCATTTGATGTTTGAATGAATTGTAAGAAAGTAACTGTACAAAATCTTAACACACACCTTTTCTTCTATTACCAAGACGAGACGAGATCATGACACAGACGTATTTAAATGCTGTCTATATCAACATGCAATATTTTCATATTTTTAAAAAAAACTGCCAAAATTTTTCTATGTAGATATATGTCTTACAAGCCAGTGTTTTGATACATTTTGCATAACCTCATGTGGTGTGTTTGTATGATTAGTTTATGCATATGCATAGCTCATCTATGCTATACTTGTAAAAATTAGGGGGAAAAAATAAACTTTTAGCAGATAAACAAATTCAATTTATACAATCTCTTCCCAGAAAAAGGACCAAAAATATATTATATGCTCTTTAGAATGATAATATAATTCTAAAGTATCAATTAGATACTTATATCATATCATAAATAATATAATTCTAATGTACATAGTACATTAGAATAGTTCGATTTCTCATAGTTCGTGATACAATTTTGGTCCCCACATCTTTGGTCTATGGAATGTCCCCATAAAAAATGTTTGTGAGTGAATTACCTGCATCTGTGCATCATCTCTCTACGTTGTCAATTGTGTTGTCCTACAAGGTCCTACAATGAAAGAAATTATTTATTAATGGAAAATAGATTTATTTATTTATTTGAAGGATTTGTGATGAAATTTGTGGTTCAACTGTTTTGTCCTTTTTAAATGAAGAGATGCTCTACAATTTCCTGTATATAACTTAAAACGCATGCAAGAAAGAAAAGCTTTTTTTTTTACTCCACTCTTAGGTAGATCCCATGCCTCAAGTGTATAGTATGAATAGTAATTTCATTTTTGAATTGATTTTTTGTTTTCACAGACCCCTGCTTTAGCTACACTGAGCTGAATGATTCATGGAGAGCCACCAACAATCATCAACCCCAATGGTGTGACACTGCGGTCAACTGGCACGGGTGGTACCGTCTCTTCATTCAGAATCAGAGCGCTCAGATGCCGGACACATGTGTTGCCACGTTAAGTTGTGGCACTGCTGCTCCACTGTGGCTGAACGGAGGACATCCACAAATTGAGGATGGAGTGGTCACTCGAGCTGTCTGCGGAAACTGGTTGAATGACTGCTGCATGTTCCGATCCAATCCCATTAAAGTCAAAGCCTGTCCTGGCAATTACTACGTCTATGAGTTTGTGAGCCCAATTGGCTGTTTTTTGGCATACTGTGCAGGTACAGTAAACATAATTTGCATTCATCCAGGAAGGTGTTTTTGTAATGTATTACATCTATGAGTTTGTTAGACCATCTAACTGTTTTTTGGCACACTGTGAAGGTAAATACAGTAACATGTGCCTTTTGTACTTGTATATATTTGTATCTGTTTATTTATTAAAATTCATTATTTTATTTATTTTTTGCAGAAGTTAGGGACATTACCACCAATAATGCAACTGTCACTCCAAACACTGGTAATGTATACGCTATGGTTTCTTCTGACTGTTGAAGTTTTGACGGGATGTATCCTGAAAATCTATCATTCTGTATGTGTTTGTGTCTGTAGGTACAGACTGTAGATAAAACAGTGTTTGAAATTTGCAGATGCTGAAGCACGTTCATTATTTACCATACATATTAATTTGTAATTTTACTGCATTAACTCCACTTGATGTTTGAATGAATTATAAGAAATGTAACTGTACAAAATCTTTACACACCTTTTTTCTATTACTAAGACGAGACTAGATCATGACACAGACGTTGGCACTGACCCAAGACATTAATATATATATATATATATATTAGTGCTGTCAAACGATTAAAATATTTGATCGCGATTAATCGCATTAATGTCATAGTTAACTAGCGATCAATCGCAATTAATCGCACATTTTTATCTATTCTAAATGTCTTTTGATTTCTTTTTGTCCCATTATTTTTTCTCATTTTAATGCTCTTATCAACATGGAAAAGTGGATCGGCTTGCTTTGTGAAAATGTTTTTTATTGAAAACAACATTGGCATATACTGTGTTCAATTTCACACTAACATTCTCACTTGGAGCAAATAATCTCTCACACAATGTAACACTGTCCATCAATAAAAGGGTGAAAGAAATACTGACGAGGTCCTGATATTGACGAGGGGGCGGAGAATTCGCATCAGCTGTGTGTGTGTGCTTGGCCATCATCAAGTGGTGTTTCAGACTGGACGTGCTGCTATCGCGATGATGATAGCTCAGTTCACAACGACAAAACACACAGATCACTTTGGTCTTGTCAATGGAACCATTTGGCAACTTTTTAAAAGTAAACTTTCCATTCAGAATCTTATTGGCATCCATTTCGGCGTCTCGCACTCGTCATCCACTCAAAATGGACGTGATGGACGACTCCACCTTTGAGCCCTCAGCCTCTGCTTCCTCAATGGAAGACGTGTCGGTGCTTGAGGAGATCCTCAAAGTATTTCTTCCACCGTCCGACGACATCCCCAGTTGAGGTCAACAGCTGCCCACCTCTACTGTAAACAGTGTTGGTAGGGCACTGCTTCCCTCTCCTGAGGAGCCGGATGCAGAAGACGCAAACCTTTCAGCTGCTGATGAGGGCTTGGAGTTGGTGAGCACAGTTTGTTGAACTTTCAAAAACTGTGCAATATGTTGCCATATCCTGCTGTCTAAATAGTCAGCAGCCATATCACCCTGTAGCCCAAGACTGGTTGCCCACTGAAGCTAAGCAGGGCTGAGCCTGGTTAGTACCTGGATGGGAGACCTTCTGAGAAAACCAGGTTGCTGCTGGAAGAGGTGTTAGTGAGGTCAGCAGGGGGCGCTCACCCTGTGGTCTGTGTGGGTCCTAACGCCCCATTATAGTAATGGAGACACTATACTGTCAAAGAGCACCGTCCTTCGGATGATACGTTAAACCAAGGCCCTGACTCTCTGTGGTCACAAAAAATCCCAGGATGTCTTTTGAAAGAGTAGGGGTGTAACCCCGGCATCCTGGCCAAATTTGCACAGTGGTCTCTGTCCATCATGGCCTCCTAATCATCCCCATATATATATATATATATATATATATATATACCAATTGGCTTCATCACTATGTCTCCTCTCCACCAGTAAGCCGGTGTGTGGTGAGCGTTCTGGCGCAATATGGCTGCCGTCGCATCATCCAGGTGGATGCTGCACATTGGTGGTGGTTGAGGAGATTCCCCCTTCTATGTAAAGCGCTTTGAGTGCCAAGAAAAGCGCTATATAAATGTAATTTATTATTATTATTATTATTAATAAAACCTTCTCACTGATGCCTATCATGTCATTGGACTTGGCTACATACTAGGGGTGGAACGGTACACAGAAGTCACGGTTCGGTTCATACCTCGGTTCAGACATCACGGTTCGGTACGATTTCGGTACAAGGGAGTGAAAAGCAAAGCAAAAATGCAGAAGGCATTTTTATAAATGTCTTAAGCCTTGTATTTTTTTAAATAAGTTTTATTAATAAAGGCATAGAACCAGTTTATTTGTAGTGCACTGACAGTAGTTTTATATAATTAGTTTATTAATTAAATTATTAAAAAGACGAAAAGACCTTGAGATATGTTTGGTAATTGTACCTGAATGAATTTAAAATTAATTTGCTATTTCAGATCAAGATATTTGTTTTCCTTCATTTTAATTAACTAACTTTATTCTCATCTGAATTATAAATAATTGATTTCCGTATAAAATAATACTACCATAAAAACTTTTGTTAACAGGTGTAGGTTACAGTTTGACAAGAGTTTAGAGTGTGACAAAAGCACAATGTTGTGTTTTATTGCGAGTGTACACAAATATAAGTAAACAATTTGCAGTTTTAATGATGTCCTGTATGAAAAAAATGACGGAGTATGTTTTTACGTTTCCACTGTTCGATCGCCCGTGCCTCTCTCACACACACTCACACACACACACACACACACACACACACACTGTTCATCGCGCGATTCGCGCCCGCGCCTCTCTCTCTCTCTCGCACGCGCGCGCACACACACACACACACACTGTTCATCGCGCGATTCGCGCCCGCGCCTCTCTCTCTCGCGCGCGCGAACACACACACACACACCGCGCCTCTCTCTCTCGCACGTGCGCGCACACACACACACACACACACTGTTCGATCGCGCCTCTCTCTCTCTCGCACACACACACACTGTTCATCGCGCCTCTCTCTCTCTCTCTCTCTCTCTCGCGCACACGGACACACACACACACTCCTGCATTGCAATCTTGATCGCAGCCTGTTCATTGCTGCGTTCACAGTCACACCAAAAGCGAATAGAGCGAAATTCATCGCTATTTAAGAGTTTTTTTTTTATTTGTACCGTGTATTCTGCGTGCAAATTCGTGCACCGAACCGTGACGCCCGTACCGTTTCGGTTCAATACGAATACATGTACCGTTCCACCCCTACTACATACTGTATTTTTGTTGACTGTGACACAAGTAGCCTGTGAAAGAAGCTTCTCCACACTGAAGCTTGTGAAGAACAGACTTAGGACCTCTATTGATCAGGAACACCTTGAGGCTTCCGTGTTAATGTCAACTGAGAGGGAGATACGTGTTGGAATTGACATTGACAACATTATTGATAAAGTTGCTGAGAGCAGCGAAGTCTTACGTAACCTGCTGACCTTCTAAGCTAACATTTTTGTTTAACCTCTCTTCTGCAGTTTATATACATTTATGAGTGAGAAGTAGGCCCCATTTACACTGCATGGTTCAAGTGACACAAATCCGATTTTTTCCTCTCATGTGGCACAGATCGGATATGACCCATGAACGTGTAAGCAGAAAAAAACGCATGGATTCCGATTTTCTCAGATCGGATTCAGGCCTCACTCATATGTGGTAATAAATCGGATATGAATCGGATACGTGCATTTGCGTGTGCCATGTAAGCACTAGCAGACAAATCGGATATTCCCCAATAAATGCGAGTCGTACGTCATTAAAAAAGTGACGTCAACTCAGGTGGACACCACCAGCTGAGATCACATGACTTATTATAGGCGCGATGGAGGACGAAGGATACACACAGTGGAGCAATGCGGAGGTTTCATGTCTTTTGAGTGTTTGGGGCGAAGAGACAGTGCAGGCAAAAATGCAGGGTTGTTACAGAAATAAATCCGTGTTTGAAGACATTTCACGAGATATGGGGAGGCACGGTTTTAAGCGCTCGTGGCTACAGTGCCACCGTAAGATAAAAAGCTTAATGACTTTTAAAAATATTGTGGAAAGCAAAACACTGGATAATTTTAGTCGCATCTGCATCCATTGTATTTCGTGCTGTTTTACTTCCTTTTCCGGGTCAGGACGTCTACATTTGGTATAGACATATAAACTAGACATCACCTTGGGGTTCTAAGCATGCGTCAAAACCACCGCCATCTTGGAACAGGGGTCTTGGAACAGCTAGGTAACGCTGCAATCTCTGCCTTTACTTCTAATTAATTGATGGTGGCGGACTTTTGTGCTGTGTATGATGTTCACACGAATGAAATCTGAACTAGGAAGAATGTTTTAAAAAATGTTTTTTTTTTTTTTCTGGAATCAATGATACATGTCTGACCGTGGGAACCAAAAAAACGAGAAAATCGCATTCATGATGATTTATGGTGATTTTATTTCCGTTAGACCTTTGTCTACATTGATGCTGATGCATTAAAGTGGAGGGGCTCCCCTGTTCCAAGATGGCAGCTCTATTGACGCATTCGTTCTAATGAACTGCCGTAGCCAAGGCGACATCTAGTGTATATGTCTATGTACATTTGGTAGTTTCAGCAGTGTATAGTGTAAATGCAAAAATCGGATACGGGTCACTTTTAAAAGATGATGTACAGTAAGCGGGTCGTCAAAAAAATCAGATATAGTCAGAAAATCGGATTTGGGCATCAAGACCTGCAGTGTAAATGCAGCCGTAGAGAGGTAGTAACAGCTTTGGACTTCTAGAGTAAATGCTTGTATAACGTTATGTGCAGACCCATTTGATATTAGGACTGCTTTACTTCTAGGTTGGTTGTTTATGTTTTTATGTTATGGTCATACTGTGAAATAAATGTAATTTAGGGGAAAAATAGGGTTGTCCGTGTTTCTAAATTTTATTTGAGTGCATAGGATGGCCTGGATGGGTGTAGGATTTCCCGGACTGAAATTGTGTCCCAGTCCGGCCCTGATGAGATATATATATTTTTTTTTGATAAATTTCATACAACCTCATATAATGTGTTTGTCTGATTAGTTGCATATATTTAAAACATCGTGCAAATAAGTATGTGTTGATGTGTGGCTTTTAGTTCATGTCTGCTACAGTAGCTTTGAGCTCCTCTGTATGCTTGTAATGGATCCACTGGAGGCAAGTTGTAGCGAGAGAACCCAAGTGCAGTTTATTCAAAATCAACATATAACAGGATCAAAACATAACATGAAACA